AGGTGGCGGGCGGGGGGAGGGGGGGGAAGATTGGTAGTAGGAAACGCGCGTTGATCGTAAGAATCGAATCGAATGGAATCGATCGCGCGGAAAGGGGAAGGGCGTACCTACCACTTTATTTTCGCCGGTGATAGTGAGCGTCAGATTGAGATTCATGAGGAACTTGTTGCCAACTTCGAGGAGAGCTTCCCTCGGCCATTCCAGGAACCAATCGATGGTCGTGCAATTGATCAGGGCAGGGTACTGCCGTAATCTGTTCCTGAAGGCATCGCCGATCGGGCTCATGCACAGGATCAAATGCATATTGGCGCGCGCCCTCTCCACCAGGAAGAAGTACACCGTCTCGGTCGTTGGTATCTTTCCAGCCTTCGTTACTTCTTTTATTAGTCTCGTTTTAATCTGGGAAAACGCGATATATCAGTAACCGGCGAGATACGCTCACTCCCCTGTATTGATTTTATTTTCGCCCGAGCTGAATCGACCGACAAAAATGCGATTTATGGTGGCGCTAAAGCGTTCGCGATACGCCCGGGGGCTGAAGCGCGTATCGTGTTCTATCTCTCTCTCACGCGTTTCTTCAAGTTTGCGTAATTCTCGATACAAACTTCACTCGCACGGTTCGTTGATAAGTTCGGCAATACCGTGCCTTTCGCAGCAATACCGCGCCTTTCATGAGATTTACGGTTATTAGGAGAACCATCTTTGACGTAACCGACGCTCGTCCGATATCCGATGTACGCGTTCATTAAACGCGCTTCTGCGTTTTTAATAACACGAAAAACGTCTTTCACGTTTCCAAGGGGGGTAATGTAAACGTAGCGCGCGGAGTTTAATGAGACGGGGGAAATAATTGATCGGAATATAAATTTGACGAGGAGAGAATCGGAGATGGTATGTTCCAGCGGCTCTTTCATCTCGCTGATTCGCGCGTAAAACGCGGTATCTACAGCCGCGGATTATAATCCAAATGGAGGACGAAACGACGATGGTGGCGCGGAGCGTATTAACCGACTTACGTCCTCCATTTCGTCGCTCTTGTAGAGATTAGCCACTTCGCCAGTACTCAGCATATTGTTGACAATCTCCAGAAACTGCTCCTCCACCGCCTGGGTATCGTTGAAGAGGAAACTGGTCGGTTTGTTCTCCACCCCGGCTATTGAGTACAGAGTCTTGAGATCCTCACGAAATTCCGGCACCCTATATTGCTTCGTAACGGCGATTTGATAGGTGTACAGATCGCACATGTAACTGCCAATACGCGAGAGCGATTGTCTACCGCTACCGCCGATCCCGACCAGCAGCACGTTACCATGAGGCTGCGGAGAAACGTTATTACTATCTTCGAATTTATGATGTCGACGTTGACCCGCGTCTGCCGGTTGTGGCAGATCGATATCACACACTACGAGTAAATTACACATACACGCTGACAGTAAAGCTTTCCGTTTCTTAAATTACTATTTAAATTACCAGATATTATTAATGACTAAATTGTTAAATTATTAAATTTAAGTGAAATTATTAAATTAATATTATTTGAAGCTTGAATTTTCATCCGCGAGATATCATGAAAAGTAACAGGATATCCCGTGATATGAAGTTGTAATAATACGAGAGAAATTTCTGGACGTGTTAAAAAATCGGTGTTAAAAGTATCGGTTTGTGTTTCTAAAAACGCCGAGTGTTCAGCGTTAACTATTACGCGTTGTATGTTACACCGTTACCTGCGATATCACGCGAACGATGCGACATATATGCTCGATCGCGTCGCGGAACAGAATGAGATCGAGGCGCACCACGCCAGGTGAGGCATTATACTCATCCATCTGTTCCTCCACGTGGCGCCTTACGGCACTGATATCTGACAGGTCCTCGTATATATTCCAGGCATTCATAAAACTACCTGCGAATATATAATTAATTATAATATAAATTATAATATTAATTCGTTTTGGATATACCTTAATATTCGGTGTACTAATAACGACGACGATAAAAAAATATAATAACCCATACACTCTGACTGTCGATATTGTTACTAATGAGCGATAACGGACGGTGATAGACGTTAACACAGATTAAATCGCGGGAGAGTCGCACGTGTTTACCGAAAATGGGAGATCTCTTCTCTGGACAGACGTTATGGAAGGTCAACTCAAAGTGCTTTCCGAGCTGATCATTCAGCTGAGTCACGAACCACTCTCTGTCCCTGAAAGAAATTGCTCAGCATTTTTTCTTCCCGTAGCCCCACGCCAAATTAAGTTAATGCCTCTTGAGCGCTTACTTCTCGTCAATAAGTCGATCGCAGAAAACTCGGAAACTCTCGTGAACCCACAATCGCAGAAAGGTCTGCCTCGAATACTGATAGTCTTTATGGCTGCGCAGCAGTCCTTGGAAGACCTGTCGGAATCGATACTAATTTTTGTATCCGCTCCGATCGTGCGTATGTATACGATCGCTCTCTTTTATTTTTACCTTCGAGATGTCTCTCAGATTGAATAAGTAATGCATCTTTGCCGGAGTGGGAAGCATCTTCTGGATCACGCGATTATACAGGTTGATCGAGGCGAATGTGATGTCGTTCGCTGATGCGAGTAAAAATGTTTTCACTTTACATCATTGACTATAGTTATATAAGAAAGCACCAACCCACGAAATTATGATTTTTGAAATTTTGTTATCAATGGTAGTCTTTCTACATAAAAACAAAAAGATCCAAGCCTCAGGGGCGCCTAAAATTAATTAAAAAGAGTTTTCATTTTCTACTAATTGTGCCATTTTTTACTAATAGCGTCTATTTTATCCATTTTTTTAAAGATTAAGCTAGTCAACGAATACTCTCAAAGAGAAGAATATGGGTCGTGTTTGACTCTGAACGATGTAAAGAACTTCAGTGCTATTTATACTTTTTAAATCATGTATCCAATTTTCATCTTCATTCTTCTCGATACGCACTCCATATGAATCAGATCGATTGCATCTTGCATAATTATAGACAATTATCATGATCGGCAGAGGAAGAGGAGAAAGGTAAACTTGCCATTGCTATCAGTACTCACATATTCCCTTTACTTCGGAGTGAAACTCGGCGAGCTGTTGCTTCAACATCGTGCCGTAGATCCTCACGATCTGCTTCTCGGCCGGAAAGGTCATGTTGATGACGTTGAATCGCGTGAGCAATCGATCTGTGATGACGTTGCGACCTCCGCCGGGCGGCCCCATCGCTGCTACTAATTGCATCCTTTGAATGTACCTCCTCGTCTGCTTCCGGCGATCGTACCTGCCGATTTCGACGACACGCTCTTCACGCACATTCGCCGCGATCAATTCCGAATGTACATACAGTCGCGATTTTATTTTCGCGCCTTATTTGTACACCTATCTCCATGTTTCCCCGCACATCGTGATAGGACGTTACCAGAATCCGTAATCGATCCACTGTCGAACCAATTCCAACGGCGGCTGCGACCCGTACGTTTCCTTCATGGGCATATTGAAGTCGTCCATAAACACGACCATAGTCCTACCACTCGTGGGAATATAAACGCCTTTCGTTCGTTTCTCCATTCTGCTTTCTATTATATCCTAGTACGCAGGAATCGACGAGTAAAGTATTCATACGGCGTTCTCAAATCTATTATTCATCTGATATAGAGTTTAGAGCCTCACTTGCACGTTGTTGGACGTAGTTTGCGCGGACATGTTTACAAGAAGGACAGCGTATTCCGCGTCGTCCAGGAGCTCGAGCACCGAGTGGACGGTGGACGTTTTTCCCGTGCCCACCGGTCCCACTACCAATGCCGGAAAGCCATTCGATAAGAGAGAATTTACGATGTAATCGTACCGTATCGTGTCCACGGTAGGTATTATTATCTTGTAAAACGGCGTTCTGTAAACGAACCTGAGGATGTAGGGCGAGGTAACCTTCGGGGCGAGAGTGAAATATGAATTATCAGCAGTCATCGACCTTCTCGGGAAATACATGCGATCGAGCGCGATGCCACGTGATTGGGATAATTCAATTTGAATATGGACACGACGAGACATATTGGATCCGGGTGAAATTCGGCATATTCTAATCTCGATCGAATGCTCGCGCAATCAGCGCGCGTCCGAGATCGGCCGCAGACCCGTCAGTCAGCAGCCTACGACGAAGGCAGCGAAGGAAACGATATGATTTCAAGATTCCTCCCTATTTCTTTCTGCTTCTTTTTTTTTCTAAAGCCGTCGGAATTTCACATGACCGACGACGATGTTCGATACTCGCTCGCTCTTACCCGGGCGGGAACTTCCACGCCTGTGTCAATTTCTCCTCCCACGAAATGAAAGTATGCAGACGAGGCTCCACGAAGTACTCGTATACTGTGTCTCGTAACGGAAAGGAACTCTCGATGTCCCTTATGAAATTATCTATCTTGTGACGACCCTCCTCGGTGACCGCGGCGCACAGTGACCATATCATGCTGCAACATTGCGACGTCGAATGTAGTTGTCTCGCGCTCTCGACCGGCCATTAGCATGTCATTAGCTCGGAACTTATAGTTTAATACGACTTGCGAACCACTGGAGAGCGAGAGAACTACGGTATTAGCATTACTTGGAAGTGCCTCGAGGTGGCGGCTAGTATTCGAATCTCGGTTGCGGTCGGGTGCGCGAGTTAGCCTCGTTGCGAATTAGATCGTCACCCACGAGCCCGACGGGCTGGCAGCTGGCGATTGTCGAGTCTCACTCGACGCGATCAAAATTCGCGATCGAAATGCGCATACATATACATGGCAGCAAAAACAATTTGGTTCTTGCAACGGGATAGAGACCGGATGGAAAAATCACTGACACAAGAGATGATATTTGAACTGTTTTGTTTGTGTGATGTTTAATTTTTAGGGCTTACGCTTTACTTGAATCCTGTTTATTCGTATCAAGTCTAGTTTGAAAAAGGCAATACATTAAAACCTTTCAGCTGACACTGCGCTTTTTGGTCACTATCGTTCTCAATTAAAAGATATACACAGAGAAAATGATTTCTTTGGATTTAATATATGTAATATGTATTTGTTTCACTTGGGTTTTTATTTAATATAAACAACACAATTTATAATGTCAAATATTATTTTGTTTGAATGAAAATATTGTTTCTTACAAGAGTTATTGGTTACTTGTTTCATTATTGGAACAAACCATGTTATTTGAAAAAAAAAACAGAATTATTTAGAGGAAATATCTCGTTTTCAATAAAAAAAATATTTCATTTTATTATATATTTCATTTCGTTATATATATTAAATATTCTTTCACTGAAACAAAGAAAAGTTCTTTAATATTTTTCTAACATAGTGTTATTTCTTTTAAATAATTTATTACTTGTAATAACCATTGTAATCCGTGGATAAAAATATAAGAGAAATATGTTATATCGGACGTAAAAATATTTATTGTTGGAGGAACCAAACAATTCTATTTGTTGAATTAAATATATTTGTGGAATTAAATATTCGTTTGTTTGCTCTATTCCAAAAGACAAATTTGTTTTAAGCAAAGAAATTATATTAAATTCAATGAAAACTTTTTCTCTGGGTACTCGATCTTCACCATATTTATGTCCAATAAAAATATTGTTACTACTTATAAATAAATAAATAAATAAATAAATATATATATATCTCCGTTACCGCGATTGAACTGCATTGAAATCTCGGTTGAAACAACTAAGAGCAATTGACCGGGCGGTAACTTCCCGCAGGAATCTTTCTATTCCTGCAACTGAGTTTCCGTTCGGTCCCCGGGAAAATTTAATGACACTAACGAAGTTGTTTTCCCTCCATTTGCACGTATATGCGTACGTACCAAAAGAAAAACCACATCTTGCATATGACGGAGTAAGCGTCGCGATGTTCGCCCAGCTCGACACCGTTTTGCGGCGTCGCGAGCACCTCGAGCAATTTGCAAAGCGACTGAACGGCGTTCAATTCGGGCACGGGCACGATCTCGTCGCAGTATCGCCGTTTATATTCCAGCGCTCCGTTAACGTGGCTCTCGAACAGCTGATTCATCTGATTGAAAAGCAATGAACTGTACGACCCGTTGTTGGCTCGCTCGTTCGTTCGCTCCGGGGGGGGGAGAGTCGCGGTCTCACCTCCTCGACGAACTCGGGTGTCGCGTCGTACTTCCGCAGCCACGAGTCGACGTACGGACGCCAACCGAGGTTCTTGTAATCGTTATAAATCATGCCCGCTCTGGAGACAGTCGCGGGCGAGGCCGCGGCCAGGTCCTGCACCTCGAAGAGCAGCGACACTTGCTCGGGCATGGTGATACGGTCGTTGTTTATTAACGTCAGTACCTTGAAAGGATTTTAGACTTTGAGACGAGCCAGCCAGCTAGCCAGCCAGCCTTGTGCAACCTTAATTCGAGGAGAGGCAAGGAGGTGCAACAGATGGACGGGGTATACCTTGTTGTCATCCATGACACTGTTCATGTTCTCAATCCAATCAGCGTCCACGGGCCCGTCAAAGAGGATCCACTTTTCATCGGCGGTGTCCTCTGTCAAAAGAGCGCACGGCCTTACAACGTGGCATGCTTTCGTGGCATAAATCGCGTTAGCGAGGCAAGATCTAACGATCGCGCTCGCATTCTCTTCTCCCACTTCGCCTATTACTCGTGAATGCTGATCGCGTTAATGCTCCGAGTAATAATCTTCCGTTATCGCGTGGAAATTTCGTTCACGTTCTCTCGTAATCCGATGAAAAAAACACGCAATTTCGTTCTATCTATTGCATTGTGTTATATTGCTATAATCGATGTGTCATTCGCGAGATGTAATTTGCGAATCGTTGGGATTTCCAAGCGTTTCACCGGTCGGAACGTTCGCGGGACACGTTTTAAGTGTCTCGTATGCATTAAGAAATTCATCCTGCTGGAGTAACGCTCCTCACGAACGCACGTCCGTGGCGTGTGCGACATACTTATTATACCGCACATATTACTTCGTTATCAATCAAGCGCTTTACCGGAACAAGTTTTCCGCATGATGGACGATATCACTCCGTCGAGCCATTCTCCGGTGGAAAGATTGTACTCGCCGTAGAGTTCACCGAGACTCAGTGCCTTAGGATTAATGGGATGTACGTGAACGGTGTTAAAGCCCGGCTTTCCATCGCTCTTCATTGTCGTCATCGTATTCCGCAGAATCTTCCAGGTCGCGGTTTTCGCGGTGTTGGACGCGCCGACGATCATCGTCGAGTGACGTGAGCCCATCGTCTCGTATAGCTCGATGACTTTCGTGATGATCATGGGAATCGGCTGCGATCCGGATGATACGGAGTGATTAATTAATCTCGAGGTAGCCGGAGGGGCGATCCATCGATTCGCCAGCGGCATGTTCGAACAATTTCTATAACTATTTCCGCCAACGTCGGAGATGAAATTCTAAGGAACGCCGGAGCTACGATAGCGAACCGTAGCGGAGTTTAATATGCGCGAATTAATATTTATAAGCATCCCGATTCGGCGCGAATAACTTCTCAATAAATGCCCGCCTTCCTCTTCGCAGGCCCGAGGGATGCATGGCTCTCATGAGAAAAAAAAAGAAAAGACGATATCGTCGGCATCTCGTCGAGGGAACCGCGATCTGTGCACGGACGTTACGTTATATCCTCCTCCGAATAGATTACCTGCAGCTTCAGCTTGATTGCCTCGTTGGTTATGTAACTGATCATTTCCGCGTAATCCACGCTCGGTACATCCATGTGGGGGAAAAGATCCGTGACGATATCGAGGAACAACGGCAGGTCGTCCGAGGTAAGTTTAGCGACGTTCATATCTCTCATGGCAAGAATAATCACCTGGGAGAAATTCAACTTGGCTGATGAGAGTTCACGCTGGCGCAAATAGTCATCGTAGTTTCTAAGCGTTTCGAGCGAATGCACCAGCACGAAATATTACAAGTAACTCGGAAATTACGTTATATGTTGTCGAGTGTTCTTGGTAAAGAAACAATTCTTTTTACAGATTAAATGATCTCATTAACAGTCACCTCATCGTCGGGCAGCTTGGGATACAATCTCTTCTTTTTCCCGGCGTAGCGAGCCAGTGTCACTATACCTCGCAAACCGAAGTCATAATGGTATTGTTTACTGAGTTGCTGCTGGGCGAGTGAGTACAATGTGAAGATCTACAAGGACAAGAAGCATCGTGCATGCAAAATTTTCGTCGACCACGGTATCGTACTACGATACTGACGTGAATTCACGACGTGAATTCATTTCTCAAGTAATAAACAAGTTAATCGCCTGGAGAGTTTTCGATGCGTCGAGAGATAATGGAAAATGCAAGGTTAAATTATTCTGTAAAAGAAATGTGAAGACGCGATAAGTATCGCGGCAAATTTGTAGTTGGAAAAATAGTTCGTGTCGCGGTGTTGGGATGAGAAATTAATCGTGACTGCGGACGACCTTTCTGGCCAGCGTGCGCGTGTTTTGGAAGCCTTCGCCGAACAGTCTGATTTCGGCAATCATGCTACTGTCCGGCACCATCATCGAGATTGGCCGGAACATGGACTTTAAATTGTCTGGAAGTTCGGTACGCCCGGCGTAACCAGGATTCATTGTGATGAAGATGCCGCAGGTGTGTATCAGAGCTATCTCGGCGCCGTCGAAAATGAATTTCGTGAGTCTCTGGGCGAGGGCGGTCAGTATCGATAGTATCTGTTGCGCCACTACTGATAACACTTCGACGTTAATCCTGCGATTGCGAAAAAAGTCTGTTTAGAGCTGCGCTATTTACAACCTCGCCTCGCCCCAAAGCTGTTCTTTCGTGTAACAAAACTGTACGGAGTCATTTAGAAAGGAAAGTTAATTAATTAACTCTACACAAATTTTTCCCACATATATATGTCCTATAATAAATAAATCGTGAATATATATGTGTGTGTGTGTGTGTGTGTGTGTGTGTGTGTGTGTGTGTGTGTGTGTGTGTGTGTGTGTGTGTGTGTGTGCCTATATGTGTGTAAAGTATTTCTTTTGTATATAAGCAATATCTAATTTGTACAAACGTCAGTTACGCGTTTACAAGGGAAAGTTAGCGAGTATCAATCATCGCTTTCGATAAACTGTAAGTAGTTACGGGCGTGCACGGTCAGTCCGCTTGTACTGTGTAGCGCGTTCGACGTGAAACGTCTGCATCTACTTATAGCGCGGTATCCGCGACATCTCAAAATTCCAAAAATGCGACTTCAAAGGATAATTTTATTGCGCACAGCTAAATCTGAAGTAAAATTATGTTGAGTTTTTGCAAAAAAGTTTATAGAAATATTTACTAAATTGTACGCAGACTTTTTAAATCGTGAAAATAATTACGAGAAACGAGGGTGTGTTGAAAAATATAAAGTTTGGAAATATAAACTACAGAATTACAAAGCACATCATACACACGGATAAAAAGAACTCGGCTCCTGATTCAACAGAATAGAAACTAGATGAAAACCCGACGACAAGAAGTGATATCTCTGTTACCGTGACTGAGGACATTTGTGTGAACAATGGCTGCATTAAATCCCGGTTGAGACAACTGAAAACAACTGACTGAATAAAAACCTCCTACTTCCCGTTCTTACAACCGAATTTTCGTCTGGTCCGCATATAATGGAAATTTCAATCACTTTCAGCGAAATTGTTTTTTCCGTGTGTCATCAAACTTTCGTTTAAAATATTTCATATATCTCACAGTTTCAAATATAGGCGGAATTAGCTCTGTGAAGCTCCGTTTCAACTCTAAAACGTGCTATGACAAAGTATTTACAAAAAAAGAATCGCGTCTCTCCAGCCGCTCTAAAATACCTAGTCAAGGCTGTTAAAAATCGGCGAGGGTCACTTCGAGATATTGTCCTGTTGGAAATTCGATCTCGTTTGCATCGCTCGCATCTACATGCTATCTACGCGCAGTATTCGAGTCCCGAAGGTGTTTACCGATTAAATTCGTCGAAGCATCCCCAGGCGCCGGATTGCGCCAGCCCGGAGAATAATCTACCCATACTTTTGTAGTCCAATCCTTCCGAGCAGTTCTGCACGATCACGTTGAAACCGAGCGCTTTCCCGAGGTCCTTTACCGTTTCAGTTTTCCCAGTGCCCGCGGGTCCTTTCGGGCTCCCGCCGCGATATAAATGAAGAGCCGTTGTCAGCGTGATGTAACACCTATATACAAACGGGACAAACGCGCGCGCGAAGAGTTATTTCATGATCCAATGCGCGATGATATCTGACACGCGCGAGTGCGAAAATGGAAAATTAACGGGCCGCGTCAGAGCTGGACACTCGACCCGCTCGCAAATGCAATTGCGAGACCCGACCCGCTGCGACCGATTATCGCGTCATTTTATGCCGCGGATAACCGCGACGTATTTCAGATTCGCGTCTCAGAGCAGCCCGGGATAAGACGGCGCACGCTCGCATGTTATCGCGCGTTTTATTAACGCAGAATGCGGGGATTGCGTTTCTCGCGCTGAGAGACCCTCGTACAATTTACGATACGGCGTATCGGCGAAATATCTCGCCCATCAGGCCCGGGAGCGCGCGAGCTACCCGAAGAACACACAGCTGCAATCTGGCATTCGATTCGAGGAATACATCAGAGTGTGTATATGCCCCGGCACAATTTGCGATTTAATGCGTCTACTCTCGAAACGGAGAGTAGCGTGGCGGTCCATCCACTCCCGGGCGAAGGGTGCTGGAGGGTACGAGGAGGAGATCGGCGGAGTAACGGAAGATTGAGATTCCTGCAGGCCGGGAACACCGCGGAAAGTGGGAAAGCGTGCGTTGTCTTCTTTCCGCAAGACAAATTCTCCGGACCGCGGGGGAGCGGACAAATGTATCGAGATGGCAATCGCCGTTTATAAATTAGAGCGAGACGTGGGGGGAGGCGGCAGTGGCCTTTTATCGCGATTAAATCGATACCGCGTTAAGTAGCGACGCGGGATATCGCGCGCGCTCTCCGCGCGGTAACGTGCGTTCGGTCTTTGATATCAGCGACGACGACGTCACTAACCACCCCCTCTCTTCCCCCAGCCTTTGCCGAGACCGCCCTTGAGATCGTGTCGCATCGTCACTGTCGCACATTGCACCGCTGGATGGATGCAACGAGTTATACCGCCGCGCTTCCGCGATATTACGTCCCGCGCGCAAAATTATATCCACGCAACTCCCTGACTACGCGCGCGTCTCCCTCCCTTTCTCTTTCCTCCTCTCCGACTCTTTTAACTCCTTTGGTAAACAAACTTTACCTTCGCTTGCTGTCTCCCCCTTTCCAATGATTCCTGCCGGTAACTATCACAATTACACATAGTAAACAATTTTGTGTGAAACTTAACACATTTCGCATGTCCCGAACGGCCACACAGATTTCTGTGTTACTTTAACAAAGAGTGAATATGTTGAAAAGTAACACAAATATTACGTGAAAGATTAACACAAAATTAACATCCGTAATAATGTTAATCGACACTGAAGTGTAAAATGTGTTATTTTAACACTTACACGTGTTGAACGCCGACTCAACAAAAAATATTGAGATAACATAAACATAGTATGTTAAATTAACATATAGGTATGTTGAAAATTTAATGCGAAGATTTTAAGAAAGCTCAATTTAAATATGAGTGCAAAATATTTTTTACTTTATAAATTCTTCTATTTTGTACGCTAATATAAATTTGTTTTCATTTATAGCTTAATATTTTTTTATTATATATTCATAGATTAAATTTATTTATAGTTTATTCTTTTGGGAGATTTGTTTTCCCTTACTATTGATTTATTATTTTGATTAATATAATTTTCACTTAATTGAAAGTAATTTTCTTTCACTTTATCATGTTCTTATTTATCTTCAGAAGATTTACCCTACACAAAAGGGATACTTTTAAATCAATACCTGATATTCTCATATATAAACAAGAATATTATATTCTTGGAAGATTTTTAATTTTGAATTAAGTACAAATAATACTTGCATCACTACAAATTCAATCAAATCAAGACTAAAAATCTTCTAAGAAGATTATAATATTCTCGTTTACATATGAGAATATCTATTAATGATTTATATATAAGATAATTTTTTTCATATATCATGTAATAAATGTTCCCTCTTTCTCTCTTTCTATCACACACACACACACACACACACATGCGAAGCATACTCGATGGGGCGAGCGTTTTGTGACGGGCGGGGCGCAAGTTCGAAGGGACCTCGAGTTTCTGAGCGCGCACGTGAATCGGCGGCCGACGCGCGCGGAATGTGATTAATTCAACTTGAAAAGCTCCACGAGCGTACATTCTTGACAGAGTTGCCGCGAGGCGCGATTTAACTTTTTACATTTCTGTCCCGCCAACTTTCCCCGGTTGCCTTAACGTTTTCGTTTCCGCTCGTCCCTCGTTACTTATTTATTTCGGGAATAAAGCGCGCTCGCGCCTCTCGTATACTCGCGTGCATGCATCTTCATGATGCAATTTACCACCCTGGAAATTGCAGCTCGCGGTCCCTCGGTCGGTGGTAGTGTCTAAGCGTATTCCTCCGCGCGAGTGTACCGAGGAAGGCACGCGCGTGCGCGTGCGCGACTACAAGCGATCACCCCTGTAGCCGGCGTTCTTATCATACACGTGACGTTCGTTCCCACGCTAAGATATAACTAGTTGTGTCAAGTAGAGCAGAGGAGTATAGATGCGACGAGTATCACGGAGAGTCTGCGGCCTCGCCTTAATCATGTAACGTGAGTTATTCGGTGCGATCAGTATCGCGCGGCAAGTTCCCTCATTAAGTACAACGGCGGTGCTTAAAACTTGGCATAATCGGACATGTGCGGCGCGTCGAGCGACGATCGCCCGACGTTGACCCGACCCGGAGTTGCATTACATCGTCAATGCGTCGAACAGTAAGCATTACCCGCGCACCATCGCGTTACCGCGCGTGACAGACGAAATTACGGCTGGCCACGAGCCGGTGCCAACTACTGAGCGACTATAGCGAGCGCGATAACCGCTGAGAAACTTCTGTTTCAACATCGCCGAGCGGAACAGAGTCCGCCGACCGACTAAATACGTCGCAACGTAATAACGTCACAAAGTAATTTTGCAAATGGCCCGGCAATCGAGTGCACACACATATGCCATTATTCGGATTCACTCGCCGGTCAAACGACAGCGGGCACGGTTTGTATATGTACATATGCGCGTTTTGTCGAGAGTATCAGCCGGCGCGAAGAGTCTCGATGGCGGGCGCATCTCGATATAAAATTATTCCCGTCCCTTTTCCCCGCAGCTACCTGACAAAAACTGCCCAACGAGTGTCCCACTTCCCGGTTAATTTTCAGACGCTATCTCGAATCAACCGTTTATCTTCGCGTGTCCGCTGAGATATTATATGTGTAAATTTAATTTGGTATTTTTATTAGCAGAAATCAAAGTTTATTTATGGGATTTATTATAATTGGAGGTAAGATTTTAATTATCGAAATAATCGCCGTTATTACCGATGACATTTATCTATCGGGCAGCTGTCGATTTCTATCGCGATAGAAGTTTGATTGGACAAAAATCGGTTTTGAATAAAGTTATGGATAGATTTCAAAAATTATGTATTGTTTTAAAACGTGTGTCAATTAAATGATGTTGTAGCGGCTGAAACAGATGAGATTCCAGATTTATGGTCAGTCATAAAAGGCTGCAACACTCTTTTTTTACAAATTTCGGAACGCATCCTGTGTCCGATAGAAGAATTTGTTTTTTAATAATTCTCAGCAAATACTTTTTCCTATTGGATACGAGATATGTTGCGGAACTCGTGGAAAAAAAGTGTCACAATTTTATGTGACTGGCCATACAATTTTCCAGCTCGTATTAAAAACGGCATCTTTTGTTCTTTTTACCACGTGAGGTCAAGCATTATTGTGGAGTACGCATACATATATAGGCCTTCCCGAAATCTTCTTAAAATTTTTGATATCATTTTTTTCAAATTGTTTAATTCACTATGCTTTCACCAACTGCCAAACAAATCATTTTTGTGGCTCCAACAACACGTCTTAGCAGTTAAAATGCAAAAAGAATGTAATGCCGAATATGCGCTTTATCGATAGCAATATTATTCACTACTATTTTCTGAGGTTATATTGATTATTCTGCGATATTACGTGATGTTTTGTAAACATAGATGGTATTCCTTTAAAACTATAATTGAGCGGAAAAATCTTTAAATTTAAAATGTTCATTAGAAAGGGATAAATATCTGAAAGTTAACCGAATTAATTTACACACTTAATATATAACGGAAATTCGTTTGAATGTCGAGAAGAGATATTGGTTTTATGTCGAAAAGGATCGCAAAAAACTGATGCGATGCTGAAAACTCGCATCTGGAAATTAAAAGTTACAAACAGAGCCATGAATTGAATTCCCAGTAAAAAATGATTAAAGTTCGCAAGATTCGCTTCCACATAGTAAAAAACATTTTGTACTTGCGTTAAAATCGATCCTTGCTCAAATTTTGGTGTTATTAATTTTTAACACACCCGTATGTTAATTTAACATATTGTGTTTACGTTATCTCAATATTTTGTGTTGTGTCGACATTCAACAAGTATAAGTATTAAAATAACACATCTTATACTTCAATATTGATTAACATATTAATTTTGTGTTAATTTCTGACACAATATTTGTGCCACTTTTCAACACATTCATCTTGTGTTAAATTAACACAAAAATTTGAATGGACCATCTCAGATATGCGGAGAATGCGTTAAATTCAACACACAATTTTTTACTGTGCGGTAACAGTTTCCTCACACAGGAAGATAATTAAGATAGCGATCGCCGAGCGACTATTCGACGTCCGTCGACGTTTCGCTCTTTTTCACCGAAATGCTCAGTGGAACATACCGATCTGTCAGCGGAGTTATCACGAGTCTTCCGGTGTTACCTAGGTACTCGTAACCGTACAGGAAACGAGTATTTGTCTGCCGGACAATGCAGTCGTCGATGTCTTTCTCCCAATAAAATCTCAGCTGCGACAGCCACTCGAAAGCGGACACATCTCTGCAATCTGAAAAATTTGGGAAGCAAGTTTGTTCCCGCTTTTTCACCGGTTCCCCTTTCATCTTCCCCTCGCGTATGGGCGATAAATAATTCCGGATTCGACTGTCTTATGACGTTCACACGCGTCGCAAATGGAATCGATCGTTTCGCATGATTTTATTTACACGGTGAGGTGCGGCGTTATTTGCTGTGTTCGAAATTGTCGTAATTTCTGAGAATGCCGTGCATTTTGAAGCCTTTCACTTTAATTGCTGCCACTAAACTAATTAAATTCAAATTGCTTTTATATATTAACGCGAATTGCGCGGCAACTCGCGGGTTCAACACGGTGTGCTGAAGAATTACATCGTATAAAAGGAAAATGCGCGAAACGTTTCCGCGGTAAATTTCCGCGTCTGTCTCGAATTCACCGGGGAATGCACCCTCTCGCGCTATGCGTTACAGATGTACATTTTTTGGAGTGTATTTCCCCTTTTCGAGAAACCGCCGATACACAAATTTACGAGGGAGCGCAGCGGCGTTTTCTCACTGTAACGCGTCATATCACCGGCGACATAACGCCGAAACGTGATGCGGTCGCCTCGTGCGCCGCTGGCGGTCCTATAAAATCCGTAATTCGCTGGTCGGTACGCTCTCGCGGGTTACATCGAGCGTGCGCTCGCGAAATAAATGCGCGGCGAACGACTATCGAATGCAGAATCGAGGAGCGGAAGAGGTTACCGTTGTGCAATCCCGCACAATTGATGGAATCAGCGCGACGAGCGTTTGCGAACGCAATCTCAGACTCACTCAATTTGTACATTCTCTCGATCACGTCTCTCGCGTGTATCTCGATCACGACAATGGCCTTGAACTTCAGCCGGTCGAGCTTGCTCAGGTCGCTCCGTATAGCTTCCGAATATTTGTCTAAAGCTTGATTCTGCTTCTTCCTCAGCTTCCTCAATGGCCTCTTCGAGTCGGCCAACCTCGGGAGAGAGCGCGAGCGTAAATCAAACGAAATTAATTGAATCGCGAAATAGCTGACGCGTAACCCGACGTTTTGCAGCGCGCGCTATCCGCTGTATAACTTAAGTCTCGTCCCTTTTACGAGTTCCCGGAACGTCTCGGGAATATCTGTTTCTTCCACGTTTCCCCGACGACACGTTCGAGCGTAACGTCGTTTACGGGAAATGCATTTTAGGTATCCGTCGCGTTCCCACGGCGAAACTATTAGCGCAAAATTTCTCAGCCCCTCGGTCAAGATTTATACGTTGGCCGAGGTACGCGGAAAAAAGAAAGGAGAGGGAAAAAGAGAGCGAGCGAGCGAGCAAGAGAGAAAGAGCGAGAGAGAGAAAGAGCAAGCAGGGCGAGGCGCAGTGTATGACGCGCGCGCTTCTGGCAAAACCATTTTCCACCGTCCGGCACATTCAGAGCGCTCGCGTCCCTATTTTGCACAACCCTTCTCGTCGCGCGCTGCCTTTGGCATCCCCTTTTTCCGAGACACTCGTGCAACGGAAAGGTGGTGGTACGCCGGGCCTTGCGTAACACGAGCGTTACAGGAGTGTCGTGAGACGGGTGGGATTTTATTCGGTAGGTAGGTAGGTAGATATGTAGGGTAGGGATGTACTCGCCGTAGGTGTGGGTTAAATTATTCGCGGTACGGCTAGTATATGCAAATCAGGCAGGAAGGGTGCCTCTGGCCGAGGTGCCGTCGCCGGATCGCAGGACGAGACGTAGAATATGCAAAATTTCTCTTATTAGAGTTGCCGTGTCTCCTGTCCCTCTTCCGCGCGACTATCCTTCGGCCCCACCCTACACCCCCTGCGTGAGGGCCCTTTCTCGCGCCGTACGTCGCTACGTCGTCTCGTTCTCTCCAACCGCGCCCTAGTGTCCATCACGCGAGCCGTCCTCACGTTCACCCTCCGCCCTCCGTTCTCATCCATCCTTTTCGTGCGCCTCGCCGCGCCCTTTCGACGGCTGGACCGCGGCCCCTCTCTCTCTCTCTCTCTCTCTCTGTCCGTCTCCGCTCGTGCGCTTCCATAACTAACACGCCAGCGAAATTTCTCTGGCAGGGGAGGCTCACTTGCAGTGCTGCAGGCTCCGCGTGCAGTCGCTCGTCCATTGGATTTGAGTGGACGTAATGCCAGGCTGGCCCGGCCACTCTTTCACCCACCTGTCGCGTTTCGCCTGCGTTTTTCGCAGCTCCGTCCGACACTGCCTCAACACTTCGCGCAGGGTCACTCTCATCGCGGCCTCTGCAATTGCCATCCGCACCGGCTTTATTCACCCTCTCGCGGCCTCCCGCTGTGCGTTTCCTACCACCGCTCCCCCCATCCGCCGCCGCCCCGTTCGCGTTCGCGCATTTTTATCTCTCGCAAACAGAAATCGAAGTTGCACACGGTGCGCGCGCGCCCCGGGTAATTTACGGCGGCAGCGAGGGCCACACGTCGGGATCGAGCATAAATTATGGCCAATTTTCCGCGCCGCGCTTTTATTTACGCAGCAGCCGAACGCACGTATGCGCCGCTCTTTGTAAACGGGCACCCTTTGCTGCCCGGTGCGCATCGCGGTATATTGTAAATATTTGATGAGCCCCGACGTGTTCACACGTCGCTGATCTTCCTCTTGGTTTCCTCGGCGACGCGTCTGGCCTGTCTCGCGCTTTTATATTTCAAATGGCGGGATGAAGCGCCTTTTTCGATTTTACAAAGAGCAATTTACGATCTTATAAATTCTCGCGCGCGCGCATATGTATATCTCTCCCCAATGTGCGCTCGCACGCCGTGTAGATCTCGCGGATAACGGGAAATTGGATTTACAACGCGGACATCTGAACTCTCGGAATAAAATAACCGACGGCACGCGTCCTGCCCCGCCACAGCAGAATATTACATTCGAAAATTATATCGGGACGCCCGGTGAATTGGGTGCCTGCTCGTTTTAAAACGCGTCGCGTCTCGTCCGGATAGCCGAGAAGCGGCGTCGACTATTCGTCGTCTCGCGACGACGTTGCTCTTCCCTTCGCGAAAGAGAAACTAACTCACCGACATCGAGCAACCAATGCTCGACTTGGCCCTCCAGTATGATCGGCTTGACGAACTCGATGTACTCTCCCTCGCCCGAGTACATGCCGTCGGCGAAAGGTTTCCCAGTGATCGACTTGAAGGACAGAAAAATACGATATTATTAAGAATCCTGGCTGAGCGTCGGGCTTACGCGAAGCGGGAAGGAGAATCGGCCGAGGCGATGAAGCGGAGGAGGAAGAAGAAGAAGTACCTTGCTGAGTTTCAAGGACTTGATGTTGCCGAAGAGCTTTCTGATATGCGGCTGCATGAGATCCGGCCGCTTGGAATGCGCCAGGATCTCCAGTAGATCATCGTTCGAGACGAAATACAATCTCGGGAATACGCGTCTCTTTGTCTCCAGGTATTGCTCGAGCGCCCGCTGCAACGCCTCCAACTTGTCATTGAGTTTGTTCAGGATTTCCAGAAAGTCGGCTAACGGGACAGGAGCGGGAAGGGGGAGGCGAGGAATCGGCGGGATGAGGGGCAGAGAAAAAATGCAAATGCTTTCAATGGAATAGATTTACATTATTTTACAGTACGCGTACGCGTCGGCTCGTCGCTCGATCTTTTATTTCTTTTATTTATTCCCTCTTCTTTTTTTCCCTCTCTTTTTTTAGCGCCGGGAACCGACAGGCGGTTTGTACGTATCCATTTACATTAATACTCACGGACCCGGCTCTAGCTTAAATAATTTCGATCTCGCTTTAATCCTAGTTTAACGCCCGGCGTGATCGCGCACTGCAAATGCGCTGCTTTTAATTTAAACAAACTCGTCTATTTGTTGGCTGAATACATTTTTCACGAATGCATTTATCGAACACGTTTAATCCCGGAGAGATTCGTCGCGTTAGATCGCAAACCCGTTGGGAAAATATTTAGATTGCCGTGAGAGAGAAATTGTCTTTCTCCTCTACGCTCGCGCGACGTCATTTTCTATATATTTCATTATTAGATCACAGACACCGTGTATGTGTGTCTGTTTTCGGTTGAAAGGGAACGAGGCCGCGAGCTTTAATCCTGCTGTACATAAGCCGGTTGATTTACGATTGGGAATGTACGTAAAGTAGGGTGGCTTGGGATTAATTCTAATAAGAGGTAATTAATATAATATACGAAATTTAACGGGCCTTTAGGAGCAAAGCAAGAATGCATAATAATAATGTATGTGCGTTATAGTGTCCTTTAAATATTATTATTGTCAATATCAACATTATTCTGAGAAGATAAATATGTTCAGCGTGTAATGATTACATGCTAGATATCCTTCAAACATACACACGGAATCAATCTTCTACGCTTAAACCGATCCTTGAGTCTTAATAATATTATTAATTCTCAACCCCCTTAAAATCTTTCTACCCAAATGTTAAATTGCTTAATTACCAATTTTCTTATGCACTTATCATAATGCAATTTTATATAATCCTTGCAAGATAATTCGAGCTCTTGGTTACAAAGAGTATCTTCACTCGGTGCGACTATATCCGTCCAAGCTGTCAGAACTTCGTTATATTTCCGTAGCGAGCAAAGGAAGTTTGACATAAATGAACATGAGATATAAATGATATAAATGAACACGTGAGATACAAATTAATAATTATATTAAACGATGTATTTTCATATACCCCTAACATAGATCTTGCTTTTCGAGAATTAGACCGCGTTGCTCGTCGTCGGATTTCCACTTACGCACGCAGAGAGACGTAGCCTTGATTTTACGTTTAAATATCCCCTTTGTAATAGTCCTTTGATAACACATACGTGGGTCGTGAGTGGCCGGCAACGCCAAACCGTAGCTAGCCATCCTTGACGTGTGCTCGGTCCATTCGCTCGTCATCCTGTCAAAATCGTCCGTTTCCTTTGGGAGTTGTTTCCTGATGTCCTCGCTGGTGAATATATTGTCCAGGTACGCGTATTCCCTCTGTACGAGCAGCACCATTTCCAGAACTTCGCCGATCGTCGACAGCGTCCGTTCCCAGTAGTCGACTTCCTGGGCAAACGGCTCCACGAACCTGGCAAAATTCGATGTAATCCGCTTAATTTCGCGTCGTTAGATCCACGGGCGCGCCAAGTGTGTCCGGTTTAACTAGGAGTAGCGCGACGCACCTCGTCGACTTCATAGACGAGAGCTGCACCTGGTGATCCTCCAGTGTTTCCATTACGTCATCGAGTGCCTTTAACCTGTATATTCCTCTGTCTTTGTACGGCACCATCGTGATCGGCATCGTTTCCCAGGTCTCTTTGATATGCCGCAAGCCCTGAGAATCATTCGACGGTTTCGAGAAAACGCTTTGCGCGAATCTCGGGTTACACTGAGCAACGCGATATTTACTTTGAGGTTTAGTAAGCTCTTTTTTATATTTTTTTGGCTAGTACTAAACAAAAATCTGGACGCATATCTCTATCACATCAGGATTTTGAGAAGCTTCTAGCACATCTCAGTCTAAAATTATTAATTATCGAAAAAATAAATCGCTAAAATTGCAATTTTTGGAACTTTAATAGCAGATCTCTGACGTGACAGAGAGATTCTTCGCTCGGGTTCGTGTTTAGTAGCGACAAATTTACAGGAAATCATCTACAAAATCTTAAAAAAAGATTTTGATTTTTTATTACTCGGTTATCGACCGTTAACGACGACTCACAACTTCAATGGCGAGCTCCATCGTGGCCGCGTTCGAGATCTCGTTTATCTGCTCCGCGAAATTCTGCAATTGCAACTCAGCGATCACATCCAGAGTAAATTCTTCCGACGTCTCGTCGAAATCGCGATCGACCGTGTTCTTGACTCGCTTCCAATGCCTCGATTTCATCGCCGGATTCTTCAGATCCGTAATTAACGGCAGCATACGCCGAAACTTATCAATCCTTGACCTTGAAGCAATGGATATTTCCCGATAGGACCGCGTGTGCGCAAAGTAATTACGCAAAGTAATTAGTAATTATCCTCATTCGAATATATTTATCATTTCATGAAACGCTAAGTTTAAAAGAATTGAAGGTGCAATCCTACGACCTGATCGAGAGAGCTTGTCTGCGTGTAAAATATTTCTCACATATTTGCAATTCATATTTTTACACTCGCTTTAATTATTATAAGAACACCGTTCGTTTGCGTTACACGGAGATTTAACGAATAAATTAATTAGAGCTTGAAACATCGAGTCGGGATAAAGTAAAATTATGATTTCCGATATCGGAAATTTGTACGGAAAGCCCCCTTTTTTTCTTCTTTTATCGCACACGATTAATTTTCCTTCTTTACACGCGCAGCAACGAACCATACGCGGCGCGCGTGTTTCTTTTCCATTTTTCTTTGTTTACCGTAATGGGTTGACTCACAGCTGGTTATGCAGCCACTTACAAAATGTGTACTTTGTTAACTTCAGAAAGTATCGCCGAAGGGACTGGCGCAAGTACGCCCGGGTAGTTTACGTAAGCTTCGCGCTTTAGCGGTGTAGAGGTTAATAAGCGCGAGTGTGTAACATACGGGATTAACCGTATTCCGTCCTTTCTGCGTTATTTCTTGCAAAATACCGCCACTCGGTCTAAGTGCGCGGCGTTCCATTCGAACGAAAAAGGGCCGGAGATAGAAACACGCGGATTATATCCATCGTCGCTTTGGGCGGATTCTTTTTTTTTTTTTTCAACTCTCTCCGCGTCATACGCCGCAAAAAGCTGGTAGCGAAAACGTTAATTCACTGTAGCTACAGGCTTCGATATTTGCTGTTGGAAACGAACGTACGTTTCAATCATCAACAATTACTGTCGATTACGTTCCTGCGCTCGATCTCTCTCATCTTGCTGTCATTTTGAAAAATGGCCATCCATCGTACGGACGCAGTTTATATTGGCGGCCGAGCTGTTTCTAGCTCTCGCGCAACGATAGATTGACATCCCGGCTAAAGGATGGCTCGCAAAAACAAACTACTTTGCGCCTCGGCGAAGGGTGTACGGAAACAGCGCATATTTAATGGCACGAGCTCGCCCGAAAATTGCATCACAACCGGGAACGCACCTGGTGTTCTCGACGACCTCCCAATTCTTTTCCTTCAGCTCTCTGCAGAGTCTCGTGAGCTTCCGGAGCAGGAGATTAGCGGTCACGTCCATCTTTTCCGTTTCTATCGTCCAGAAATTTTCGGTCCTGTAGCGTTCCCAGGTGTCGTTCCACTCGTCCGTCAGTTGCCACACCATTTCGATCATCGTCATATTCTTCGCGGGCGGGAAGAGCGTCGGACGTTTGATAAGAACATGCGAAATCGCGCGCGAGGCTGTGAAACACGCGACGAGCTTACTTTCTCGAGTTGCGCGAGCTCCCTCGCATCTAGTTGACTTATGCCGAAAAACGTCAGCTGCGAGTTCAGTACGCTCCCCCGGTGCTTCATAGAGTGAATCTCCTTCCGAAAGTTTGTCAGCCAAGTTAAGGCCTCTGAAATATGCAACGACGTGCGAGAAGACGTGGGTAAAAAGTAAGATAATTACATTCAGTCTCGCGGCGCGCGATACGCCGCCTCGCGAAAACCAATCCGTTATTCCGGGATCAAGTTGCCGCGTTGGTCATTTAACGCCTGTGTCGCGTATACATACGTGCACACACAAGCCCGAGTGTGAGCTCACCGAAAAGGTCGCGCGTTTATTTACACGTTCAAAGTTCACGTGGAAAAAAAACCGGCGCAATATCGACAAACGCGTTTAAAACATCTGGACGCGGCGCAAAAACGTGCCCTGAATAAATAACGCGCTAGTAATTTACAGTAGCGAAAGCCACGGCTAGGATTTTTAGTCTCTAATCTCTTGAAATCCGCATGTAGGAAATGTCACCGCGGCGGGAGGGGCCGTTACTATCGTTCAGCATTTATTACACCGTTGAGAGTTTCGATTTATTCATCGAGGAAGATGAGCTCTTTGTCGGATTAAAAAATCGCTCCAGTATTCTTTCCGATATTCGAGGCACTTTTCCCCTGTGTTTAAACAATTTTTCCTTCACTTCGCTCTCTCATTCCGTTTATAAATTCGCAACAGTCTAGTGTTGAACGTACAACGGCCAATGTTATTTCACCCCGACCATCGTTCGTACCTGAATTGTTGGACAAATCCATTTGAGGCTGTAAAATACAAGATGTTTCCGAATTACAGATGAAGATTTTTAGCTCACTGATAAAACTTGCGAAAGCGAATAAAAAGTTTATGAAGATCGCTTCGTTTGATTTCACGAGGTCGATCGATCGGCTGGCGGAGATGCCTTTACCTATGACTCCGCGAAACACTCCGTTATTTTTACCCCTTTAATGCGAGATATACGTCTCGCGAGGGTGGTGATAAGACACTGCAGTTGATTTACGCAGGGACTCCGGCGCTATCTCACAACGAGCGCGGATTTACACGTCGGATGAGTACACATAAACCAATTTACCCTTTGAATTCCATTCGGACGCGAAGGGCCCGGTATCGTTAAATTTGCGCACCAACGAGGATGCATCTTCTTGGTACGTTGTCGCGTCAGCCAGCAATATTTGCTTAAACTCTTCCTGCAATTACGTCGAGACAATATTGATAGTCGAAAATACACACGGAGTTATCACATGAATATTTATACTCCCGCAAAATCTATGATTTCGGATATTGGTCTTTTCTTTCTCATGTTTCCGTCGTATCGTGCGAAATTCACGTTACTTCAAGAATTCGACACACGCGGCAAAATAAATAGCGCGACAATCGACCGGGGATTAATCGACGTTGGGTTTCTCTTCTCGCTCAACGTTGACGCTCCATCCACACGGTTCTATTTTTTCACTGCAAACTTTCCAGCAATTTCCCTGCGCGTCGAGGGAACATCGTACCTTTTTCTCGAGTAGCGTAACTTCGCACATGGCGAACAAGTCCAAGTAAGCCTCCCAGGAACGCTCGATGTCTCTTAATCTTCTTTTGAACTCGAGAGTCAGCGGCACCTCGTATCTTTCTGGAAATAATCGAGCGTCCTTCGAGGATCTAATATGCGCGATCGCGTCCGTAGTTGCATGGTTGCGAGATGAAACGATTCAAATCCGCTCTCTCGGGCGCCTTATTTCGCGATTAAATCACGCGCGCATGCGTTTTCGAAGCGCGAAATCGGTGGTCATATTTCCGGCAAAACAGCTACATTCTCACGAACTTGTAGACCGTATCGCAGGTTCGCGAGCGATCACGCTATACGTACTACACGCTGGAGGAAACCCCGGCGATTTTATGGCGCATCGACCTCCTTATTTAGCGCGGGGAAACATTTAGAGGTTTACCCAAACTTTGGTACTGCTCCACGATCTTGGGGAACTCTTCCTCCTCTTTCGGAATCTCGGCGGTGAGCCTCTCGAACAATTGCAGCGCGGATTGCATGCTGATGAGATCCGCCGGTTCCTTCGTTATTCTGCAAACGAATGAATTCACGTACGATTCAGCTCGAAATTCAAAAAGGCCCTGCGACGGGATTTATGGGAGTAACGCCTCGCGAGCAACGCCTCTCCAGTGTTCCGCTCGGCTTGAGGAAATTTACATTAATAGTATATCGATCGAGAGAACTGAAAACGAATATAACTGAAAGATTCAATTACGCTATGGAGCGGAATAGATGATCGCGAGCTTCCCTGTAGCGCATGGATGGAGATTTTTAGCACAACGGTAAAAATAACAGGGACCCGCGGACTGCGAAAGCGATTAATTCTTCTCGGGTCGAAACGAAGAATAGAACACGCGTTCTTTAATACCATAACATTTTGCATTTTAATATCGCTCCTCTTTTCGTGCAATATACGTTGTTTCCCCGGATATTATTATGACTTTATACAAACAGCATGTTGTGACTAAAATGTTTTTCCTTAACTTGTGTCTTTTCACACCAAATTATCCATTAGATATGCGAGCTAAAATCTCCGAAACTTCAAATATAATTCCCTCTGCAAAGTTTTTTGATAATTCCAAAAATGTAACTTTCTTTGTATTTCTATTTTCTTGAATATATCTCTCCGAATTTTTATCCGGACTTCCTTTACGCTCAATTTTTGTCTTCCTCCCTCTCTCTTTCTCTCTCTCTCTCTCTCTCTTTCTACATATGAATAATAATTATATGCGGTCAACTAACTTCGTGGAATTGTCAGCGATGTAATGGTAAACGTGGTTGATCATTCTATCGGTGATGCGGAATAAAAGCGTGGTGAGCTTCTGTTGCCAGACCGAACAATGTTCAATGATGGTGGATTTCAACCCATCGGAATTTATATCGAGGAAGTGTACCGTCGACATCGTTTCCTGCAGTTGGACGCTAGTTATCAGGTCGAAATATCTGTTTATGTCCATGTCGAAAGATGCGGCTGTTGGTTTTAACTTTTCATATCTGTAATACGCACATGTAAATAATAAACTGCCATACTTTTTATAAATAAATTCAAAATTAAATATATCAGATGATTATAAAATCATATTATAATGCCATTTGTGTTCAATAATCTTTTAAAGACTTAAAAGAAATGTCATTAATTCGTAAAAATTGCGAAACAGATATTCATTTATTTCTGGTACAATTCGGTTTGCATTACCTTTGAATAAACAGGTCTTTGTTCACTTCCCATATTTCCTTGAAAGGCTCCCAGTTCTTGAGATAAGTTTGTATTTGGGTGGAACTGTAAGTTACCTCTGCAAATTCGCGAATTAATATTTAATATATCGTCTCTCCGATATTGTATAAAAGCAAATTTGACAAAATTAAAACCAGAGATCAAAGGCGTATTAATATTATGACATTATTCTTGATATAAATATTAAGAAATAATTTAATATGAATATTAAATTATATTTATCCCTCAAATATTGATCTCAAATAGTTTAAGGTGATAACATTTTGGTATAACCGGAGTTGATTTTCAATTGAGGACGGCTCAAAAATTAGCGCTAACTCCGAATTCTGCTAACTTTAAATAACATGTACCGTTTATCTCGCCGTGATGAATATACTACGTACCGTTTTCTTTATAATTATTGAAATGAAATCAAAATCTCGGCGCTCTCATTGCGACCGAACACCTGACATATCAATTGTGGTGCAGCGTGTAGCGAGAGTACAACGAAAGAAAGTCGAGAAAGGTGTATAGAAAGCTTAATGATACCGTTATTGAGTTTCTGTTGGAGTTCGATCAACTCTTTGTCCTGCTCGTATAACTTCGACAGGGGCATGCTCTTGTATCGAATTTTAAACTTTTTAGCTAGCCGCGAGACATCTTTTAGAGGCTCCAGCAAAATATTCGAGATGTTCCCTATTATCGTAGCTATCTCCGAGAGACTCGGCACAAAGTTTATCTAAATAAATCAGCAAAATGTTTAGAGTTTACTATTTTGCTTTTACAAGACAGAGCGACCCGGCAATAAAATAAAATATTATCTCGGCGTCGTTGGATTAGAAAATATGAAATTATCGACCGGTTGAACGGTGTACCGAACATTGTTACGCGATATGTTCTACATGTTACGCAAAGTTATGGACACACTTTGTTATCGATAATATCCGCTTGCACCAATAGAAGAGGCGAGGGTTCTGTCGTGCCTGTGCCGTGAAGGGCTTCATACATGATGGTCAAAGAACTCTCCAAACATAATCTGATGGCTTGCTCGATCACCCTATCGATCTTCATTATATAATCTTCCCATTGTGCGCGACTCTGAAGAAGAACAGATAGAAAATCTAACGCGCAGTTTATGCGAAAACTGCGGTACAAAATAGGTGATCCGAAAATAAAATTTTGGATTATTGCTTTCGCGTAAAAATGTGAATTTATCGGCTCACGCAGCAGCGTAGCCAGAAGTAAGTGCGAAATTTATAATCGATAATTTGTAATCGCTTCGATAAAGCAAGCGACAGGCGAGAGTGCGCTATTACGGAGATTGCTCGCTTACGACGAGGCTGTTTGTAAGACTTTTTGAATTAACCGTGAAAGTACGTGCCCATGGCGGTAGTCACGTTACGGAGAGACATATCATATCACAGATCTGCCGTAAATGTGCTCCTTACTTCTCCGACTTTAGTTACATGAGAATCGCCTCGTGGTATAGCCCGCGGCTGCACAACGTACGCAGCGCGTTTTTTTTCGCAAATATCCTTTCGTCGAGCTTATTCGGTCATTTTTGCGTTTACGTGAGATTTTACTGGAAGATTCTCGGTGGAACTCGTCAAAAAATTCCGTAAGTCAGCGAGCTGCTCTGCAGCGCTTATTGAAGTTCGCGAAAAAAAAAGAAGAAAACTAAAAGACTAAATAATTCGCCGTAACTCCTAAAATATGATTCGGCAAAACTTTGCTTCAAACATGCTCGTTGTTACGTTAAGAATTTTTCACATACACACAGTTACGCACAAGAATGTGATACAAACGCAAATAAAAAAGGAGATGATATAAAATAGACAATTTAGTTCACAATACTTGTCAAAGTAATAAAAGTTGCATCCGATACGTCGAGTTTGCGTAAATATTAAGTTGGGGAGAAAGAAATCCATTATTTTTTCGGTAGATGGCTGTAGTGATCGATATCTCGTAAAGTATCGTATATAAACAATTTCAGATTTATGCTCGTTGGAAAGGTGACATTTCGCACTAAAAAAATTCTTTTGTTGTTTTTTGTTTGGTCCATTCAGTTGTGAGTTACAGGGTGTTAGAAATGGAAGTCAACAAAGAGAAAATTCGGTACATTTTACAGTTTTTCTTTGATAAAGGCGAAAATGCAAGCTAGGCGGCTGTAATTGTGAATAGTGTTTATGGTGCCGATACTGTAACAGCCAATTACGTGCAATTTTGATTTCGTCGATTCCGTTCAGGTATTTTTGATGTTAAAGATGCACAGGTAGGCCCGTCGTCAAAAATGTCGATAAAATCACAGAAATAATCGACCGGCACGTTAGCAGTCGTAGCATCGCCCAGAAGCTAAAGATCGACCATAAAACAGTTTTAAACCATTTGCACAAAGCTGGATTCAAAAAGAAGCTCGATGTTTGGGTGCCACACCAATTAACACAAAGAAACATGATGGATCGAATTTCCATTTGCGAAGCCTTGGCCAAACGGAATAAAATCGACCCATTTCTTAAACGGATGGTGACTGGGGATGAGAAATGGGTCACATACGACAATATTGTGCGAAAACGATCGTGGTCAAAGCGCGGTGAAGCAACTCAAACGGTGGCCAAATCAGAACTAACGGCCAGGAAGGTTCTGCTGTGCATTTGGTGGGACTGGAAAGGAATCATTTATTATGAGTTGCTTCTATATGGCCAAACACTAAATTCGGATCTCTACTGTCAACAACTGGACCGTTTGAAGCTAGCGATTGACCAGAAACGGCCAGAATTGGCCAACAGGAGAGGTGTTGTGTTCCATCACGCCAGGCCACACATGTCTATAGTGACTCGCCAGAAACTCCGGGAGCTTGGTTGGGAAGTTTTGATGCATCCACCATATAGTCCGGCACCAAGCGATTACCATGTTTTTCTTGCAATGCAAAACTTCCTTAGTGATAAGGAATTGGCAACAAGAGAAGATTGTGAAAATCGATTACTAGAGTTTTTCGCCAATAGGGACCAAGACTTCTATAAGAAAGGCATTATGAAGCTACCTTTAAAATGGCAACAAATTATAAAACAAAACGGTGCATATTTGACCCAAATCGGACAATCCGAAACATGTTAAATAAAAGTCTTGAAGTTCACGTAAAAATAATGGATTTCTTTTTCCCCAACCTAATACATAAATCGAAAACGCGAAACACGAATGGACACAGAAAAATATATTAGATTCAAGTAAATAATTACTTTTATATTTCTTAGGGGCCATTCAATAATTACATCACGCTATGAGGGGGGGGGGAGGTCTATTAGTTTGCGTGACTGTCTGTGATGGCAGGGAAGAGGAAAGGTAAAGATCATGAAACGTCACATTAGATGGCATAACTTGTTAATATGAATGCGCGTGGTTAACCACTTTATTAGCATTCGTGACACATTTGGTTACGTTTGATGGAAATGGTTAAGTTCTGACATGGTTCTGTGTTAATAACCAAAAGGCTAATTTTTAAATATTTATTCTATTAAAAGCACAACTTTTACTGATCAAAATTATAAAAAAAGGAATTCATTTTTTATATTATATGCTTCATAATTATGTGTATTTTAGAATAAGGTAGTAGCGCGCAATCTCATAATTATTATCCACGATATGATTATGAGCCTTATTCTTCTACAAGTCGGCGGGAGGGAGTGGGTAATTCCATGCAATATTGGGAGGAGCAAATACTTTGTGAGGAAATCGTGAGAAAAGGAGAGGGGAGGGGTAAAAATTGCTCAAATTTAACATGACGTAATTGTTGGGTGGTTCTTTAGCAAGTTTTTACCTGAATCAAATAATATTTAATTAATGCAAGTAAAACATTTTTCTACGTAAATTATCCAAGTAAAATATTAACTCGGTCCAAGTGAAATTTACTTAATTCAAATAAAAATTTGCTAAGGAGCGTTGGAGTAATTATTTACTTGAATCTAGCATCTTTTCTCTGTGCACGATTATTTTTATCGTAACGAAAATGCGATACGTTCGCGCCCGATTAAGTTCCGCGCTCGCACGACGAGAATCGTACCTCTTCTATCACGTCCTTGAAGCCCCTGTAGATCTCCATAACGTGTCGAAATATCACATCGAGTCTCTGAGTCATGATCTGAAACGCCTCGTTTCTGGAAAGCGAGGAAGTCCGATCGATGCACGCTCGGCGCGGTTAAGTTTCAGTCACGCGTCTGAATTCGCGGTGGCCCCGACGCAATTCCTACCTTACGTGCACGAGCTCCCGCTCCAGCGCGGCCAATGTGTACGTGTAATTAACCCTTATCCTGATCAGAGGGGTGTCGCAGATGCTCTCGCTGATTCTTACGATCTCGGAGTTGGAGTTCTTGTAAGTGTCGATAAACTCCTGGAACTGAAGGGGAGGTATAATTTAACGCGCCCGTTTGCGCGCGCGCGAAATCGCGCGAATCGACGAACAAAGAGAAATCCGCTCCCGAGCGATTTCGACGATCGATTTCGACGAGCGATCTCGTTGCGTGCACACGTCATATTTAGCACGAGAGCGGCGCTCGTATTTCAATCAGAACACGCTTTTCCGGCACGTCGACCGGATAAAGCGGAAGTGACGAATTGTTGGAAAAGAAACGGAAGCGGCGCGACGAATATTAGGCTCTCAAATGTTAATGAACTCTCCTGCCTGTGCATTCCTGTTCGCGCGCACGCTCGCCCGCTCGTACGCGCGCGTATACCCGCCGCATCATAATTATTCCGTTTCTGCATTATACGGGGTCCATAATTAATTGTTCAAACGCAGGTAGACAGCGAACGGACTGCTCACGGACAGTCCGAAATTAAATTTCCCCGCGAAGCGCCGTACATATTGCATGAATTTATATAGACTCCGCGCGCGTGGACGAGGTAAGAGACTCTGGGCGTACATTGGCCGTTTCGTTGAAACAATCCTCGATGTACGAGTCCACGTAATCCGTGTTCCACGTCAGCTTGGTTAAGCCGGGATTGATCTTCCGGTCGAGCTGCCGAATTAATTCGTGAAACAGCGCACGTTCCGTCAGTGACAATGCTGAAAAATACAAGTTTTGCTACGCCGTAAGAATATTTCGCCTGCGCTCGCGCGATCGCGCGCTCGCGGGCTGAAAATGCGTTAAAATACGAAGAATGTCGCTTTCATCGCGCGCATTACAAGCGTGTGCGTTGAATCGCGTCATCAGAATATTTGCATGACACAGGCGTTTGTATTTTAATTGGAATACTATTTTAATATTCGAAGAAGAGCGTTTAATTTTCACGCGTGGGTGTATGTGCGGTTCACGCGCGTGTTTAATAAATTATGAAATGTAATATTTGCGATACGTGTGGAGAAATTCAGAGAAGATGACAACGGATAGTAAAATCTGCGTCTCTGACAGTCGCGAGTCGATTTTCTCTGGGAATAAATTTTTCATCCCACGTCGAATGCTCCGACTGAAGCTTCGTTGACAAAACGACATTTAAAAATAATCGAGGAACTGGAACGGTCTCGTAATATCTCCGCCTCTTCGAAATTCGATTTGTCAAGGAACTCGGAGCTTCGTCGCGCTTAAAGTAATTAAAGTTTCATTAATAAGTCGTCTCAGGTTTTGAAATTGGCCGTCGGTCCTCTCGCTGACGCCATCTTCATAGCCCACTCTATAGTACCATCCAGTGCGCTCAAAAAAATAGTCTTGCAGTCACAGCGGAAGTTATGTAGATACGACAAATTAGCTAAGATGAATGAATAATTAGCAAACACTTCAGTGCCAGTATAGGTTATGTCTATGAATATAGGTGACAAAAACAGAATTGAATCTGAACTATTTATCTAATTTGGCAAGAAAGTTTCTCTCTGTGAAGCCCGTCCAGATCAAGGCTAGTCACATTGTTATTAAAAATTAGCGACAGGATCGAAATTTTCCTGCATGTATTGCCAGAACGCTGCTGCCGTAAGTTAATACGTACTACAGACCAAATTCTAGAGGATACAGAAAACAGCGATACATTTTACCTGTGATATTTTTAAAATTCTAGCCGGACCAGTGAAATAATTCCCCGAATGCGTGCAATGATCAAGAACAAAGTCCTACCTTCGATAATCTTGTTGTACGCAAGAGTGACGGCGTGGACGCTCTCTCGTATGTAATGCAACGTCTCTTGCTTGTCGTGTATTATTTGCACGTGCACGGGAATGGTGAATTTCAGGCTGATCCAGTAGAACGACTCGTGGCAGAGATTCACGATGTCAGGGTCAATATTGCATTCGAGCAGGCCGGATCTGTCGTCGCTCCGTCGCATCAGGAAGCGATCGAGTCGCGAGCGCGGATTCTCGCCGACGTCGTCCAGCCATTGCCGGTACAGATTCTTCACCGTGTCCTCGATGGATCTGATTACGATGTCCTGCTGATGATAGACCTCCACGCTCATGCCGCAGTACGGCATCCACTCGGCTTCCTCGAGTTTCTTCCGCGTCGACAGCAAGCGGTCACCTTTCGAGCGAAGATTCAACGCTCTGCCGGCGAAGTACGGCGTGATAGCCGGATATTCCTCTCGCTCGTGCAGAACTTCTAGCTTCGTCCGTTGGAGATCGTCGGCGAATATCTGCCAAACCTGAGCATCGAAGAAGTCGTCGCTTTCGAATGTCAGCGGTTACTTTTCGTTTCGATGACTCGAGATGATTCGTTCGAGACGATTCGACGACTCGGCCGAGATATAATCGCGCGAAACGCGGTGAGGACGCAAGTTCGGCGCTTAAGATCTCGAACCTTTCTCTTTGTCTACGTGTTCTCTTTTACCGGTCGTAGATCCTCTCAAGATGTCGCCAAAAGATGAGTTCTATTTTACAAATACGCGCTACGAAATTACGACGTGTTATATTTACGAATTATTGGGTTTCTCTTACGCTTGTGTTCTTGCTCTCGAAGAGGGATTTCAAGTTCTCGCGGCTCGAATAATTGTAGAAACTTCGCAGATCCGCGATCCCTTCCTCCACATTGTTAACGTCACTGAAGACGGTGGCGATCAGGTTTTCGATCATTATCTCCAAATCCCTAATTTCGGCGTGAAACACGAACATATCGTCCTGCCACGTAGGATCGTGAACAGCGAAGATCTTGTGCGAGTTCGTCTCAATTTTCTGCAGGGCTTCGTAGAAGAGTCTCTCGATCTTTTGACACACTCTCTCGTACTCCTCGCCGTTTGTGCCGCTGAACTTGGGATTTGAAATCTCAGTGGTCTCGTCCAATCTACGTCGAGAAGTTGGCGTGTTCATCACGTCGCAGGTATAATCATTTGCGCATACACCGCTAATTATTTAGAAGCGTGATTAGTCAGCCTGTTTCCGGCGTTGCGACTTAACGAGTATGTAACTATTTTCGTTCTGTCGGGAATGACTTGCCGGAAAAATAGGAGCGGAGCGGCCAATTTTTATCGTTACTTGTACGCGTTGTGTATTACTCGGACCTTGCAAAATCAATCATTGCTTGACAAATCCCGATCATATCCTGACACCTGCCGATGAAAACGTCGACGTAACGAAATATGCTCTCCGCGTCTAAATCCCAAGGGTGCCGTGTGAGATTGATGTGAGCGTTCGCGATCTGAAAATTGCCGAACGGAATACATCGAAGAGAGCTTACTTTATAAAATATAAATGCGATCGCATCGCGGGCTGTTCGAGCGAGAGTAAAAGTTGAACGTGAAGTTAACGTTAATGTCGCTGGCGTCAAAACGAACGGTGTTATTCACAGTTTGTATTTCATCGTGAGAAATATGTGATTCAAAAACGAATCCGAGAACGGAGAGTTCGTTTCGTATTAAACGTGAAATGCACTCGAGGAAATATTTTACTATTATTTTGGATTTTAACTTTAATTATAAACGAACTTTAATTATAAACGGTTTATCCGAAAAGGATCATCGAGGTGAGATCGTCGGATAATTCAACGCTTGTTACATGCTATTAAGTACATCCGAATATCCATTACTATTCGGATTACATACTATTCGGATATTCGAATAATACGGATAGCATATCCGTACTATTCGTAGCACAAAGTATCCGAATATCCGAATAATATTCGTGGAACGGATTTTATTCGTAGTCAAATATTATATATGAATATCCGGATATTCGAATAACGATATGATTCGGATTCAAGTCGCAGCCCTAATCGTAACGTAAGAATGCGAAGACTCGGGGATATGCGTTAGCATAAAACTGTGTAACGCGATTGCGCGGATTTCCCACACAAAAGTCCAAGAAGTCATGTCACCTATCCCTTCGGGCACATGGCACGCTCACCCTAGCGCAACTTGAGAACAAGTAGTTGGGAGAACCGACGCGTCACACCGTTTCCCAATTCCCACCTCTATTCTAGCTTATCTGCCCACGGGAAAAGCCGTAAGTCGATGTTATATTGCGACCTCCACTTAAGGTGAAAGCCTGTTTTCACCTTGCTATTTTGTCCCGTTAAAAAGCGCCCGCTGTGAACCGAATTGCTATTGTATCTTTAACGGCCACGTCCACGTCGACGTCTACCTTAACGCGAACCTTAACGTTCTCATATCTATCCTAACGTAAACTTTAACGTCAGTTAAGGGCCTACATACGTACATCCAAGTGGCTCGAAAAACGTCCAATATTTAAATTTTTCTGATTACATTATTGATGGGATGTTCTTTTAAAGGATGATTCTTCATACTTTTGTTTACGTATTATAGGAAGCCCGTTGCAAAAAGTTGGTATGTAATATTGTTATCGCTCATCGGTGTTTTCGGTGTCTACAAAATCTCTGACACCGTTTATCTGAAATAAATAAAGTCTAAAGTCTTGTTAAAGTAGATAAAATTAATCTTTGTCAATAGATGATTTTTATCGCAGCTGATTTTTTAAATATTAACTTCTGATAAAGCTCTTTAATCGCGTCAGTGTGAATTAAAAAAAAAAGAAGAAAAAATACACATTAATATTTTCCCATGAAAAAATATTACTTTCATCACCTTCATAAACAAATGCGTAAAATTTGGAAATAACAAGTGTAACAGTTAAAAGAAAACCCAAGCTGTTTTAAAATTCATTCGAAGAAACGGAATTCCTCTTTGGCCTACTTTACTAAGTCAGAAACGGATGATTGTTCGACTCTAGGTGCACCGAAAATTGTTACGGCCCGAATAGTTGCGCATTTTCACTAACTGTTATCGTGAATTTTAGGTTATTATCCCTAATCATAATTACCGCTGAAAACTGAGATCACTTTGTAACTTCCACATTAACGGAGAAATTCATCCTTGCGTTGTCCAACAAGGAGTCTAAGTAGCTAAAGTAGCTATGCACACATAATTTAATGGGAGTTTAACTCACCGGTTGGAAGGTGAATTTACAGACAGCATAAAGTACCACGTTTTCTGCGCTGTTCTTGTGCATGAATTACCAACCAGCTTTTGAGTTCGTGAAACGCTTTAAGTACGCGCTTTTATTTATTAATTACTGCAATATATACACATAAACGCGCAAAAAGTTCCAGCAGCCGTACAAACACTTTATTATCGTATTACGATTATTGGAAAGATTGCTCAACCTTTTTGACCGGCGAAACCCTCATGATGAACTTTCGTTGAAATAAACATATCTCATTATTCGCGCGAAATCTCTTTTATGTGAACCTTTTTTTTACCAATTCTGCCCTTTTGTGTAAAAAAGTTTCAAATCAAAAGAAATTTTTCTTATATCTTTTATATAATTTAACACCAACAATTCGAAACCTACGAGAGCGAAAATACGAAAGCGCGCTCGAATCGACGCGGCTCACTTTATGATACAGATCCTTGTAATCCAGGCACAGTTTGATGCACTCCCTGAGAACACTCGTGCTCTTCTTGGTTCTCCCGGCGAATACATCTGAGAAATCGACAAAATCTTGGCATATTATGATGATCTGGTTACTGAGCGCACTGAAGAGATCGCCTATTCTTTCTCGCGTATTGTAGTAGGGCGAGTTCAGCCAAATCGTTCTGAAGAGGTGTATCATTTTCGGCAGATACTCAATGACGCTCGCGAGAGTCTTGCAGCCCTCCAATTCGTCACAGGTGTCGTCGAGAATGCCGAGGTACTCGATGTTCGATTTCGCTTCGACTATACCGTGTTCGATCTCGTCCCTCAACGTTAGGAACTGACGTATGTAAGTGGACTGCGCGGCTACTAATATGTCGACGATACGCTGCACCGTGCTGTTGTGCAGCTGATGGCTTAAACCGCAGAGATTGTCATCTGGCGAAAGGTATCCGCGCACATCGAAATAAGTCAATTATCAGCTTTACCAGCGGTAACACGAGCTTCGGCGAGATTTCCAAATTAAGCTCGCTCGAGCCGCGAAAATCATTTCGCGAGGACCGGATGAGACGTCAGCAAACGTCCGTTCGCAAACTCGACGTACGCGCGAATCACGAGTGTCGCGCGACCGAACGCTCGTGCAATGACATCGAGTTTCGTGACCTCCCCCCTCCCCAAAAAAACAAAAAAAAAAGAATAAAACGCCAAAGGGATCTCGTTGAAAGGGCGCGTTAGAGGAGGAAACTTTCGCGACCCACGTAGAAAATCCCCGGACATATATTATCGAGAAACGATTCCGCGCGCGCAGCGCGTCCTTCCTCGAAAGTGAGCACTTACATCGATAAGTCCAGAAGTCATATTCGTCGTTGAGGCACGGTAACTCGCGCGGCGCCGCCTGCTCCTGTTCGGAGAGGGCTGTTTTGATTTGGGTGTCCCAGTGAACCACCATACCCTCCAGTCTCTTCACCAACTCCTTATCGGCGGTACCCTCCTCCACGGTGAGCTCCCTACTCTCCAGAGGTACATATATCACGGTTAAGCCCAGCATTTTGTACGTGAGGTCCGTTAAAGCGCACAGGAAGGTGTCCAGTTTGGTGCAGAAGTTCGCTTTCACACATGTGCGCGGTAAGGTTCGGGCGTGCGATTAAGGAAAAGAAAATCCGGTGGAACGTGACGCCGTCGGCCTCGTTATCGCCGTTTCCGATACAACCATTTTTTATACTCCCGTCCCGACGTCCATCGCGTCTACCATTGTAGCCTGGTGTCCTCCTAGCTGCACGTCCGTTGATGGAGATTTATTGAGCTGAATTGCGCGCGCCCTGTATATCGAAGGGATATCGGGACTCTGATCGGCTACATTGTCGCGTCAACGTTTTACAACTGAAGCGTGTAACTGCGGATCTTGTCGAATAGAAGAGGGAGAGAGGAGAAGAGAGAAAGATGAGAGGCACGGAGCGGACGCGCCCTGCTTAAATCGAAACTGTCCTCGCGCATCTGAACGACCGACGGATGAGACTCGCCGTATTCCGCTTCTCTCCTCCCGTCATCGTCGTCGATCATTATCTCGCGAGTCGACGCGAATCTCCACCAATCTCGCCGAGGGCACAGCGATAATTGGAGTCGCGCGCCTCGCCGGATCGCGAGATGGAAAATTCGAATTTATAAGCCGCGAGACGCGCGCGGATCGTCGCCGGGGACAAAAAGACGCGGACGCGAGCAAAGCCGGTGGCTAACTTCCTGACACAATTAGCAAAAGCGACGCTTCGATCCGGTTTAAATCCGGTCGGGATCCATTAGAAATAATGAAGTGCCCGTCGTCCGAACGCGATGCAATCGTTCCTAACTCGACGGCGCGGTAATCCCGTTCGCGTACGTGGGCAAACATCGACGCTGGATTTATCAGGCGGCGGTGAGTTGTGCAGTGCATTTAGCCGAAAATTAT